AGTTCATTTGTATCTATGTTTCATTTGGGATCTATTTACTTGAAGTTAATAAGTGGGGTCTATATTTGTTTTCCAAATTTGGAGATTTGGAACAAGCAAAGCAATTAAGCAAGGATGCAACCTGCAAGTGCAAGGTATTTTTAATTGAATTATGAATTTGAAAGTAAATTTGAATTGGATTGTGATTTGAGGATATGTGAATTGGATTTTGAAATTGAATTGGATATGTGAATTTGAAATGGATATAGATAGGTAAAATTGAAATGGATATGGTATGAAGCAAGATTTTACAGTTTTGTTTTTCTTTCTTGAAGCAATGGATGTTGTAGAGCAAGATTTTATGAACCTTAGTGATGGAGGGTCAGTGAAAGTTACAATGGGAATACAACTTGATCATGGAAGTGAAAATACAGAAGATACAAATACAAGTCCAGCAAAGAAAAAGGCTAAAGTGATCAATTAGGTAAGCGAACACTCAGGTCTTCTGTTTGGAAAACTTTCAACAAATTAACTACTATTTTTTAAGATGGTAAAAGTTGTGCTCAATGTAAAGATTGTAAGAAACTGGAAATAGATGATAGTCATCATGGGACGGGTAATATGAATAGATATTTGAAAACATGCCCTGGACCGACGGGTGGATTATTGTCGATGTCTGAATTCTGTTCCCAAAACTTTGATCCCGTGATATTCCGTGGCTTATTGGTAAAGGCCATCATCAAACATAATCTTCCTTTTAATTTTTCTGAATATGAGGAAATTAGGGCTTTGTTTGCATATATATCTCGTGATATTAAGTTACCAGAATCAGTTCAAGCTTTGTTGTGCACAAGAGATTGGCTATTTGGAAAATGAGGTAATATAGTTTTATATGGTATAGTACTATTGTCTTATTTTGTTTCATAATTATTTTGGTAAACTTCTCATAATTTGAATAGTTTTTAATGTTTGTTTTTTCTATACTTAGTTTATGCGGAAGAAAGTTCTGATGTGGAAAATCTTACTTAAAACATCATCAACATAACTCTTGAAGGCAATAGATCAAGCCAAAGTTCCAATACAATTTCTTCATGATGATCGATGAAAATTGAGGATTTTGTAAAAGAAATAACATGCAAGCTTTGAGTTCCATTGGCAAGATTTAAACTTTTGAGAAAGGCTTCACAACCTTGAAAACAAAAACTCTTTCATTTTGCATATCCTTGCACATTTAATATTTTGTAATAGACTAGTAGTGTATGGATGTTTTTTTATTAGGCTCTTATTTTTGAGTGTTGATGTAGTACTTAAACGACAAATGTGTTTTAATGTTTTGAAGTAATATTTATGTGGCAGTATGTGCAAATTTAAGAAAAAATATATATTTTTCTTAACGGGTCATAACGGGTCGAGTCACTTTACCCATTGGGTAAAGTGACCCGACCTATTAAGGACCCGTTAAGATAACGGGTGTGACACGACATGACCCGTTAAGATAACAGGTATTGCATGAAAACGACACAAACACAACAGACACGACCTATTTGCCAGACCTAATTCCCACTCTCATGTTCTCTCTCCTCACATTTTAAAAACAAAAAAAAAATGTTAACACACACAGAGTGTGTAGGCATATACTAGTAATAATAGTAATAATTAGCATATCGCCACACACAAAATGTGTGTGAAAATTTTGTATTTTTATTTTTAAAATGGAAGGAGAGAGGAAGAGAGAGATAGAGAGAGAAGGAGAACGTGAGATTGGGGATAGAACTTTGTTTTTTGTTTTTTATTTAGAGACATGTTAGAATCATATGCAGGCAGTGTTCTAAAAATCGTCCTAGGCGGCCGCCTCGGCGGCGCCTAGGCGCTCGGCGGCGCCTAGGCGCTCGGCGGCGGAGTCCCGCTCCGATTCTGGCTAGGACGTTCACAAAAAGCGGAGAGGATTAGGCGGCCGCCTAGGCGCTCACTAGGCGCTCCAGGCAATCTGGGCGGTCTGAGCGGTAGTCTAGGCGGGTTCTACAATTTCCGATTCGTCACCATCTGCAACCGATTCACCATCTGCAACTCGCATCTGCAATTTTCGACAGCCTCAAACTTATCGTTATGCTTTACTAAGTGAAGGATGGGATCTGCAGAAGGTGGTTCTGAAGGTGGGTTCTGCACAAACCCCAGAGGAGGAGGATGGGAGTGAAGGTGGTTTATGCAGAGACATAATTAGAGAGGAGGATGAGAGTAAATTGCAGAGAGTGAGACGAGAGAGAGTTCACGATTTGCAGAGAGACATTATTATATTAAAGGCTTAAAGCTATTAGATAGATAAGGATTAATGAGTTGGTGGGTGAATCCCAATCTCTCATGCCGGGTAAAAGCAAAATTATTAAAAAACTTATTAATTAGCTATTTCTTTGGTCCAATCATCTAGAAAATTTAGCTGTTTGAGGGAAAAGTGAGGTGGGTGGGTGACGTGACGGCTATTGATTTGTAGTTAGGGTTTCTTTTATTTTTTTATTTTTTATTGGAACAAAGGGTTTCTTTTATTAAAAATCTTGTGAGGCCCAATGATCTTAAAAAAATTTAAAATTTTACATAAAACTCATTTTTTATAATAAATGTTTATTTATGTATTCTTTTATTTTTCATTTTATCTTTCTCAAATTTCCTATACAAGCAGTTCTAAAAAACTGCCTAGTATCTTACATTATTATATCTTTATTTTCCTCTTATTTTGCATTTTATGTTGTTTTAAATTGTAAACTTGTTATACATGTGTCATCTTAAAATATTCCTCACTATGGTTATATGGCATATACATGCCACAAAACCGAGCGCAATGGCGTTCTAGGATTCATATAGCCGACCCCACTTAGTGGGTAAAGGCTTTGTTGTTGTTGTTGTTGTTGTATGGTTATATGGCATATATGCTTAATGTATTTTTAAATTTTGGACTTGTTGGATACTCTTTTTACATTTTATCATTCTTTTATTATTTTATCTATGGATTTCATACAAGTATAATTTTTTGTAAGTGTCAATATGGACTTATTTACAAGATATACAAAAAATTTACCTAAATCCGCCTAGGCCCCGCCTAACCGCCTAGGCGCTAGGCGCTAGCCCGCCGCCCGACTAGCGCCTAGCGTTTTTTAGAACCTTGTATGCAGGTGAGATTTTGGAAAAAAAAAAACAGCAAAATTTTGATTGTGTAAAATACATTACTGTTCATATTTCTTATTTATGTTTGGTTTTAATTAAAGGGTTAGAATGATAATTTCATGGGGTTTTGGTTGACAATGAGAGTTCCATGAATATGTAGTTTTTTTTTTTTTTGGGTAAAAGTTTCTTTTTAATCCCAACTAGGCAAAACATATATATAAGCTAACTAAAGACCCAAAGTAAATGTATAAACAAACAAAGGATAAAACACAAAATGAGCCAATCAAAAAATAGGCCTAAGACCAACCTACACAACAGAATCTAGAAACTTCAACTATAGTCTTCGCCTCCATAATTCCACATTATCCATCCAATTCCTCTTCCACAGCCGAGCATTGCCTCATCGATTACATCTTCCCACTCTGATCTGCTCCTCAAGCACAGCCATAAAAACAGTATAGTCTACAACTAAATGAGAGAAGCCAACTATCAAGATGAAGCCCGTGAAAGCCCACGAGCGACATGCCAGTAAAGGTAGACAATATAGAGGTGGTGGTGGTGTTGGAAATACCCAAACCGGTGTAAACACCAAAGCTCTACACATGATAGGATGCATGGCTAAAGATCGGAATAGGGATGAGCCAAGAAAAGGGATATCCACAATGGCATAGGAACAATATAGATCGGTAAAGAGATTTTGGGAAAAAAATAGTAGAAACCAAGAAAAGAGAAGAGGAAAAAAGAAGGGCGAGAAAGGCAACCGACCTCAGCTAGAGCTAGGGTTGACGCCACCGAATTTTCTCAAGATTAAAAGCCTCACACTAAAAGTGAGAAAAATATCACTATGCAATTTAACACTTGAGTCATTTTACTAACAGACAAGAGGTTAACTTTGAACTTGGGAACTTTGAGCACGTTGTCAAGCTTAAGATTTGGTGTGACTTGGACTGAACCAATCGAGATTGCCATCAGAGGTTTGAATGGCAGCTGTAGGAGGCAAATGTAATGGATTCATCAATGGAGAGGAAGCTGTCACATGATTCGTTGCTCCATTATCAATTATCCAACCCAAATGGGAATGTGCAGCAACTGGATTCACATCACATGAAGGTGTAACAATAACATTCGCAAAGTGTTGTGCATTATCATTGTTGTTTTTCCAAAGCATTGCCATGATTTGGTTGTATTCTTCATTAGTAAACCTTGGATCATCACTGGAGGATGAGGGCTTAGAGCCACTGTCTGTAGGTTTGTTTGCATTAGTTGCCCTTTCATGGTTAGCGTTGGAACACCTTTGGTTGGAAGGTTTCACATTCTGCCTATGGTCAACATTAATGGTGTCCATCAAATTCGGTATCTTCTTCACTCATAAGGTAATGAGACGGCGGACCAATCTCATGCTCCAAATATCCAGCGCATCATGAAGGAGGGGAAAGAGCGGACTTAGTCTCACAATGGGCTAGCAATAATATGGTTCAAATTCGCCTTTGGTGAGAATCGAACCTAAGATGTCTTGCTTACAAGTGAAGAGGAATACCACTAGACCGTAGTACTAAATAGCAAAAAAATAAATGAAATTTAAAATAGAAGATCTAACAATTATGGAAATCAAATTTAATGGGTAAAACACATGTGGCACGTAGCATTGAAGACAAACCCTAAAGGTTGAGATTGAAACACAAAAACCACTTCAACTTATTTCCCCTTCTTGATACCAAATCCAAAGGTGAGCCACCATCCATTTCTTGGTCAGATTATCGACCACAGCATTTGTGCCCATTTCTTTGCAGCATTGGCAGTTCTTCTGCGTATCCACATTCTGGAAGAATGGGCATGAATAGACCATACCATACATAAGAATTGGATAAAAGAATACAACCTTTCATTCATTCATCTCTTATGAAAGAATTTGATGTAGAATACAAAAATGCTGTGAAAAAGAATCATGGAAATGGTCAAACCTGTACACAACCAGATGACCTGCATACAATGGAGCTATTGACACAAACTTTTACTAGTTTTAAGTTTATACACGGTATACATTCGCCACTAAATTCAATTTCTATATGTTGCATCGGTCATAACCGGAGAACCATAATGAGGGCTCGGCGAGTTTTCGCAACTCGCCCTCTTCCCCGTTGTAGAATGGTTCAAATTCCTCTCTACATATTTGATCACTCAAACTATGGGGCTCGCCTGCATCATATTTTGCCATATTAGAACCGTCATAAGCAGGTTGAATTGCTTCTTTGGGTAAACGAGACTCGGCAATGAGCTCATTAAGACTGCTAATCTCTTTCTCATGTTTTTTCTTCAGTTTTTCAATCTTCATGTAAGCTTTGTCTGCTTCTTGCTTGGCCTCCATAGCTTGCTTCTGTAGGTTATTGACGTTAATAAGATATCAAATTATGTTCACATAAAAGACAGTAAATGGAGGAAGCAGAGAAAGAGCAAAGTATGAAAAGTTTACTTGAACATGAATGAATTCTGTGAAAATGAAAAGATACAGAGTGTATTGGAATTTATTCAGAATTTCAGCCTCCCCATCAAAATGCACTATCTATTCTTAACATGGTCACAGGTACTGATCTCATAAAAATGTTGGAAACAATTTTCAATTAGTCCTTTCATTGACATAAATCGTAGTTCCATATTTAGGGTTCTGGTCAAATTGGACTGTCAGTTACTACGATTAACATACTTTCAGGCTGTGACAACGCTTGGTCAATTTGTTAGAGCTTGGTGGCCGATCACAAAGCCATTTGTAGTTATTAAGCTCATAAATGATGGTTTTCTATAGGTCTTTGCAACTCTTCTGAAGAGGGGAAGTTCATAGGCAGGTAGTTATAAAGGTAACAAAAAAGGGAACAAGTTACATCACGATCAGCATGAGTGTTCCTTTGCATCATTTTGTGTGATGAAACATCCAAAGAAAATGGAAAATGATTTGAGATGAAGCTTCAGAACTTAAATGCAAATAAAATAAGAAAGACGAAAATAGATAAAATCTATCAATTATAAACATACTTCTAGGATGGAAAAGGAAAATCACAAAAATCTTGAAAGTAAGAATCTCAACCCAGAAAACAGAAAAGCATCATAACACAAAAACAGTTAACACACCTGAGCAGTAGCAACAGCCTCATCTGCTTCTTTGAGCCGCACAAGTAATTCGCCTGCAGCCTGCACAGCTTCAGCAGTATCCCGCAATTGTGCCTGAATCCCCTTATTTTCGTCCCTAAGATACCGCCCCTCTCTTTCTCTTTCTACTCTCAATGCTGAAATTTCTGCAGCAATAGCATTTATGAATTTGGACTCGGCACCCCTGACTCCTGCCTTTGCAGCTGCTTTCTTCACATCCTCCACTCCATCCCTTATCATTCTATGCCTTGCAAGCAGTTGCATATGTTTCTCTTCCAAATCTGCATACTGTTCTAACATCCGTGATTGCCCCTCCATAGCCAGTTTCATTGCTTTCTTGAGCTCTTCTGCACATTTCTTCTCAGTTTCTAATTCTTGCATTGTCTTTTCGGCCAGTGATCTGCTGGCCTCAAGTTCCATTCTGAATTCCTCAGTAAGAGATATCCACTTACTCTCTACTTCATTCCACTTTTGTCTCTCTTGTTCTAGTTTCTGTTCAGAGCTTTCCTCATTTGACTCTGATATTGTACTGAGAGGGGCCACATTTGGGTCACGTGAATAGGTCAACTGCATCATAGAGTTTCGTGTCCGGGCTGATGTGGATGAACAGTCTACGTAATACTGTAGCTGGCTTCTTAGATCTTGAATCTCTTCGAACAACACTTCCCTTTCACCCATGTCACAGAAGTTTCGTAAATTTTCCAACTCATCTTGAACTCTTTTGAGTTCAATATTTGTCCTCAAAAGTTCTGGGTGATTCTCGTATTTCTCCTTCAGGATCTGTATGTATGGGTAAATCTATAAGCATAAAGACCACAAAAAGGATCTGGAGAACAAAGAAAAGAAAGAAACATAAATGGGGCCTTCATAGACAGTTTATACCTTATACTCATGTGTGAGAGACACTAGCTCTTCCTCCATGAACTCCTCAGTGGGTAAAACACCATCCATGAGGCTCTCAAGGTGTAGAATCTTATCCTCCCTTGTCTGGGCTATAATGCCATTGCATTCTCTCTCATGCTTGTACTGCTGAACCTGTAAAATACAGCTAAAAAAAGTCAAGCAAACAATAGAGGAAAATAATTGTTATGGCGGCTGTAATTTGGAGAAACCTACCAATCGGTTTAGCTGCATTATCTCTGAAGTTTTCTTGGCACATAGGTCTTCTAATGCCATTTCTCTCCTAATAGCTCCCGCTAAAACCTTCTCCACAGCCTAATCATGGGGGAAAAAGTTAAGTAACTGTTGCAAATGAATCAAGGGAAGATTGGAAAAAAAAAAATTGAAAATCCAGCTATTCTTTCTTGAGCTTACTTTGGGAACTTGAATCTTGGATTTGTCAGCAGACTCTGACCCATCAACAGGTACCAATTGCATATCTGAAATATCATTTGCCTCCTTGACCTCTAGCTGCATTCTATTCTTGCAATTATTACAAATAAACTCCACTGAATCATCTTTTACTATTTCTTGACTAGTTTGCAATCCCACATCAGCTTTGGAAACGGGGAAAATCACCCTGGACTCTGAAGGTTTCAATGAAAACCTGAATGACGACTTCCTTAAAGCTGAACTTTGGCGGTGACTACCAATAATTTCAAGACCATGCTGAATGCTTGCTGCCAACTGTTCAGCTGGTGCTGAAAAGTTAGTAAATGCTCGAGCAGATAGGTCATTCGCTGAGCTCTTTATTACAGGTTTTCCAAAAGATATGCGCATGTCATCTGGACTTAACGTACTCCCACCAGTAAGATCCTTCTGAGAAGCAGTCAGCATTGAAGACGTCCTCAAACTTTTCCTGCTGGTGTTGACCCTGGGTGAAACACTGGGGGTAGGAGACTTTAGAACTTCGGGTACATTGCATGGAACTATGCTCAGACATGGAGAAACACAGTTAATTACGTCATTTGGAGAACCAATGCATTCATCTGTGACTGAAAGGCAGCCAGGCATGCCTCCTGAAGGATCAGAGGCTGCACATAAGGAACCTTCTTCCACACTTTTGCAGGCTGATTCTTCAATTAGAAAATCAATAATGGAGGACCTCAGAATATTTTCCTCCTGAGCAGGCTGCATGGAGGTATCTTCTATAACATTGCGAGGGTCCGATGCACTAGCACTGGGAATAACTGGGGTGCTGCTAGCACATTCAACAATCATGTCCCCTTGTTCGGATATTCCTTCTTCCATATTAACATCTGTATCAACACCTTGTTCTTTGATACAATCACTTCCAGATGCATAGCTTCGAGAAACTTCGGAGCTTCCAATTTGAACAGCCACGAGTTGCGAATGTGATTTCATTGTGTCTACACTGTTCACATCTGCTCTGTTGTTAGCTTCATTGACAACTGTCTGGTTACTTACTTCAGCACAAAGCCTCTCAACAGCTTCCTCATCAATTTCCATCTCCTCATCACTGTCATCATCAACATGAGGTAATGTCATTGGAGGTTTAAGGCTAGCCTTTAGCATATTCAAACTTTGACGAAACCATGCTGCACTGTGACCTCCACTTGAAGCGACTGGGTTGTTTCCATTTGCCTTAATCTGGCGTAGTTCATCCTGTCAAATTCACAAGCTCAGAGATGATTCACATGTTTAATTTGTAAATGGATGAATCAAAATATGCCAAAGTACAATAAGAGAGAACATACCCTTAGCTGTCGTATCACCTCACGCAACTGATTCACATCTTCCTGCATTACTTCATTAACAACTGCCTTGTTCTTGATAGCCTTAGCACGCTGTGCAAACCTCAATGTACTGAACGTCTCACTCTTACAGCTGCAAGATTTAATAAGTGAACTTCCAAATCAAAAAAGCAGATTAAAAATGGTAAATGTTATTTTCATGGAAGAAACAGGTTGCAGTACTACCCTTGTGTTGGAGAAATAGCACAGACCATTGCTAACTTTGCATTTCCACCCAGAGATTCCTGCAATAAGAATGTAAGCCTGGAATCTCTATAGGGGATATGCCTTTGCTTTCCCGTTTGAGAAATTTCAGCAAGAATGTTTATCAGGTTCCTGCACTCAAACAATAAGCTGCAATTAGCACAAAAGTAAAAAAAAAAATAAAAAAAAATAAAGTCTTGAACATAACAAAACTTTATATCCCAGGATAGAGTAGCCTACTAAAACCTAGTTTGGGAGTGAGGTGCTTAAAAAAAAAAGCACCTATGAAAAAAAGCTGTGAGGGTTTTAGGTGTTTGGTAAACTGAAAAAAAAGGGCTTATTTTGGAAGCTGCTGTGAGAATAAGCTGAAATCAAAGGAAAAAGCTGAAGCTGCTATTTGTAGCTTTGGAAAACTGGCTTTTTTTCAAAGCACATGGAGCTACAGTGCTCATTTAATGAAAGGACCCACTATCAGACTACTTTTTTTTCCAAAAGCTTTTTTACAAAAAAGTTTACCAAACGCTCTGCTGATTTATTTCACAGCCGCTTATTCTCACAGCAGCTTTTTTTCAAAGCACAGCAATACCAAACCAGCCCTAAGAAAGCTCATAAGCTAGCTCATTAACAAGATTAATGAATAAGTATTTATTTATTTTCTTTATAATTTCATTCTTGTAAGCTTTATGTTGTAATGAAAATTTCAATGAACACAGTTTCATTATTTGTATTCATATCCTGTTTCTTGTAAACATTTTTGTAATTCAATGAAATGAAATCTTTGGTTCCGTACTGTGATATTCATAAAGGGAAAAGATTGCCCTGTTAGAAAATGCTTATTTATTTAGGAAAGGAAAACAGAAGATCAAGTTTCAACCTCAAACAGAATCATCAACTAGAGCATGACACAATAATTTGAGCTTTGACTAAGGCTCGTGTTCAACACAAAAGCTTGTGTAACTTTATTAAGCAACACTCTAGCTAGGTAAAGCTCAGCTGGGTACGGCTCAAGTTCAACACTCAAGCTTGTGTAACTTTATTGAGCAACACTCTAGCTAGGTACAGCTCAGCTGGGTACGATTTCTCTCAAGCGTGTTCTATTATTCTTGAGTCATTTAGTTAAAGTAAACTGATATCACTAAATTACAAATCACTGTATCAAGCTTGTGTAATATTAAGCAGCAGCCTAGCTAGGTAAAATCTCCGGTTGCCACGGCTTGTTTTCAATTGTGTAAGCTCAAAATTTGGAATAATCGTCTTGTAGAAAATTCAAACATGTTATTATCCTTGACCGTTTAGTTATAGTAAACTGATACCACTGCACTAAAAATCACTACAATCTGTAATTAACTACTGGGTTTCAAGTTTCAACCAAACAACAAATAACAGCAATACTAATTAGGACTTTTAGAAAGCTTAAGATGCACCTTTAGGTAGAACTTTATATAGAACAAATAGATAAACCATACCCAAGCTGTGAGAGTGATCGATTGATATTCCCTGCTTCCTTCAAGCGCTCTCCTGCCGCCCCTGTTAACTTCTGACGCTCTGATCCAGCTAGATCAACAAGATTTATTCTACTGGTTTTGAAACTTGTACCATTTGCCACATTCTACAAAATTGATGGTTCACTTTAATCACTCCACGATATAAGTGAGAAAAAAAAAACTGAAAACAGATAAATTTCAATTTTGCTCGTAAGTAAAACTATAATGAACAAGTTCACTGGGAAAGTATTCTGTACATAGGTCCTCAAGTCAGTTATTACCTTGCATTGAGATTCAACAACACAGGTAAATACAGTATGTGAGCGGGAACTCTCAGCATTGATACTAGTTGAACCTGTTCTCCTGTTTGACAAGCCCTGCATAATGCACATGTTAGTAATAGAATTCCTTAAAAAAGTATTGAAGCTCCAATCATTCATTCAGATTATGTTCACTGCAGGAACTTGGAATATTTTTATCCTAAGCGAGTCTCCCAGATTATGTTCCACAATACCATTTTTTCTATACAGTTATATTCAACATTCATGAGACTCTTCTTTTACATATTTTTCTCCTGCCTTATTCTAATCTGCTTCCTCAGAACTTTTGGTCTTTGATGTAACTACTTCCAAGCTCTAACGATCACGAAAGCTTCCAATTTCAATAGCCACTAGATATTGTTCTAAAAAACTCATGTGAAGCTTGATGCTTGTAATCCTAGTTGTGAGACTCAGAAGCAAACAACAATATTCTTTTACCAAGAAAAGAACACCCCCTTGCATTTGATGTCCCCTATCAAAGACTATTAAAAGTTGCTAAAACTTTCTGCAAATTCGCAATTCTTGAAATGATTAAAAAAATATATAAATATAGTATCCACTTATAGTAATTTTTCTAATTTATCATTTCAAATGTACAGAAATAGGAGATCGAAACAAGATACCGTATCCACTTATGGTAATTTTCTAATTTATCATTTCAAATATACAGAAATAGGAGATCGAAACAAGATCCATCTCAAAAGAAACAGCAGCAGGACTTCAAAGGGATCCCAAACCTTTACTTTCTTTTCTGGTTGACAGAGAAACAGAACTTTCCTCTGTTTCTCCCACTTTGTGGTTTGCACTTTATGATAGAACAGTTTGCAAAAGTAAACAAATTAATGTTATCAAATCATTGATTCGATATATAATACATCAATATCAGGAATATTCCTTATTCTGGTTATTTTGCTTAAGAGTCTACTCTTTGTTGTTGACTTGCTTAAGAGTCTACCTTGAAAAATATTTCATGTAGTTAACGAAACTTATGTCATTAACACGCAATGGGAACTACCAGATCAGATTTGTAATAAGGATGTATAATTGTAAAACTGGAATACAAACAAAACTAAACATCCACATTCTTAAAGACAAAGGTTCCTGAGGCAGAACAACCAAAGAAACAGGGGAAAAACTACATGCATACCACAAAAGGTTAAAATTTGCTCAAAAACGATCTGACAATTTTTCTCTTTAGTATTACTATATGCCCTTAGACAATGAATATTCTACAGGTGAAATAATAAAGCAAACCTTTATCAGAAGCTGAGTCACATCTTTCATTGTACGTACACACTCCTCGGTGAGATTTTCGACATAAACACCTGATTTAACATCTTCTCTTATCTGGGAAAATAACGATAGAAGGCCTATGAACACCAGCACACTAATAGTACAAAAGATTGATGGTGAAAAAGAAAAATATTCCTTTCACCTGAAGGCTTTTTTGATTTGGATCCAAAAGATCTGTGATTTGTTCATTGTAAATCTGCAAGCAAGCCGATAAATAAGTGAAAGAAGTTAAGAGTCTATTGGCAAATAATCAGTCAACCGAAATGAATAATTACTCAATGTTTCTACCTCGAGAAAAGAACAATGGCACTGATACTTGAGTTCTTTATCAGCGTGCTTGATTTGCTCCTGTAAAAATGAATTCCCCAAAAACATGGGCAAACCTTTTAATACAAGAGTAATGTCAGATAGATGATAGGAGCATATTTATGCGACTTAGTTGGCTTGTTCTTGTGCATTTATGTCGTGTTTCCTTAGTTATTTTAATGTTTAAAGTCATTTTCGTGTGTTTTCAGATTTTATGGACAAAGTAGGCAAGAAGATGCATTTTGGAGCATTTTGGAGCAAAATGGAGCTTGGAATGCATGTCACATATTTGGGCCAAAGTGGATGGACGAATTTGAGAACTAAAGAGGCCAAGAATGTGAAGAATTATGGTCCAAAAGATGAAGAACTCAGCCCAAAAATTTGTCACCCCAACTTGCCTTCATTGCCATGCAAAACAACATAGAATTCCCTTTGGATTCCATGCCATGCTTGATCACTCTTGTCCCCTACATAATTTCTAATTTCATGCTTCAATTCATTTAATTATTACACTCAATTGCTTGATACCTCTTGTTCCCTTCACTCATTAGATTTTAGACAACATTTACATCCATTACATGCACCAATTGATGCTCCATCATTCACATTTGGAATCCAATGCCATGTGCAACACATGTTGTTGCACCCTTGACCCATTTGTTGACACATTTCACCTCCCTTTCCATCTCTATGCAATGTACACAATCATTCATGCTCCCTAGCTACAACACCACTCCATTTTACCCTTCACACTTTGCATCATTACTTCATTTTCACCCTTGGACCATTGCACACCACACACACACAAATTGCCATGCATTTCATCCTTAACCTAACCTGATTTTCTAAGGTTTTTGGGGCCTATAAATACATGTTTACACCCCTTGGCCAAAGGACAATCCCCCATATTCACCATTCATCACAGAAATTCGTCCATACTCACCCTAGGTAGCAAAACACCCCAAAAACACCATTCTAGTGCCTAGAAAACATAACAGCCACTCCACCTTCTTCCACCCTCTTTGCCTAGTTCTCCACCACCCTCCAACCATCAAACACTCCTCCACACTCACCCTAAACCCTTCCATACCATTCCCCATCCATTCTACATCATAAAACTACCCAAAATCTGTCCATAACCCAATCTGCCGCAAGCAAGGGAAAGGAGGAATCTTGGATGCACTTGCTACCAAGTTGGAGCATTTTAGGTGTTTTCTTTCCTTTGATTTTAATGTCTAATTTTATGTATCTTTGCTTTGTGAGTATGAGGAACTAAACCCCTCTTAGTTAGGGGGTGATTCGAAACTATGTTTCATACTTGCAATATGATTTGATTACATCCAGTTGTGATTCATAAGTTGTGAATTCAATTTACTTATCCGTTCATATAAAAACTAATTTGTGTATGTTGGTTAAGAGTGCACGCTTAATTTTCATGCATGAATTTGACGCTAGAATATAAGGGAGTTTCACCTAATCATTATAAACTTATATTCACAAGTAGTGAAGGTTGCTAGTCACAATCACGTTAAGTAAACTCTTGGCATAAGTTTCATGCAAATCATAGTAACGAGTGCCTCGTCAATGCTTATGTTTTTCATAGAACTTAATGATTCTTGCTTGTATCTCTATTATGCAATTCATGTAGGGAACTTGTAGGGAATGTTTTGGATTGTCGTATGCAATCATCCAACCTAATAACTTGTGGAAAAAACTGAGGGTTAATTAGTGCAATTCACGGTTAATTTGGGGCGTTGAGTATTCATAGCTTATCGAAAAGCAACAACTGGAAATCGTTTTGTATGCAAGTGTGACATGTGTGGAGAAGAACCTCCTAGCTAGCCTTCCATCCATAAGTTTCATTCAAATTCATTTTACAATCTGTTTTGATTCACTTAAATTTGTCTAAGAATTTGTTTACTTTGTTCTTGTCTTAATTTAATTATTTTCGTCCAAAATCAACCCCATCTTATTTCTTTGAGTCATATTAATTAGAACTTGTCTTAGATTATGTTTTTAAGTGTTTTAGTTCATTAGAAAACCAAAATTCGTCCAAGTTTGTGTTAGAGTCCCAAAACTGCCCAGATTGTGTGTTTAAGGTAGTTTTGAGTGTTTAGGGGCTGTTTTGAGTCTTTTGGTTTGTTTTAGTGTTTTAAAGTATAGTTTGCATTCTTTGAGTCTAGTTAGTGTTTTAAACTTTGTTTTTACGTTTTCAAGTCAGTTTCCAAGTGATTTAGCAATCCCTCCTAATCCCCGGCCTAGAACGATCCCGACTTACATACTTTACTACAATTGATAAAAAGAGGGTTTAATTTGTGTGCTTATATATTTCGCATCAATAGACCAACTTTTTAGACCAAATTGTAAACCATATGATGTGTCACCAATAGGAAATAAGCACATTAATCAACACTTAAGTAATAATCCAATCATCAACAACCACATCATATGGTTTACAAAATTTGGTCTAAATAGTTGGTCTCCCAAGCATTACTCTTAATACAATATAATATTAATAATGTGCAGTATCTTAAACTAACTAACCAACAAAATTAAAGCTCACCTCATTTAAGCGAGCAAAAAGACACTCAAAAACACGGGGGGTTAACCCTTGTTGATCACTTGATAGATTCTCATCCAGCAAGGCATTGGCTGGACCCCACATGGTGTATGTCTTTCCGCTTCCCGTCTGATGAATTCAATAACCAGACATATAGAAACAAAATTACCATCAGCATTATAACATAGCACAGACACAGAATGAAGCAAAAGACCGACTGGAAACAGACCTGTCCGTATGCAAATACAGAACTGTTAAAACCTGCCATACAATTCTCAACTAGAGGTGCTCCTACAAGCTGGAAAATATCTAGCTGCAATGACAAGCACAACAAAAGGTTAGAATTAAATCTAAAATCAGCTATTGAAGAATACCATTTTAAAAGAGTTCATGCCTGTGATGCATCTGTGTTGCAGACCGAGTCAAATGTGAAGGTCTGTCCATTTATCGACAAAGAGTCACTAGATAATTTCTGCACCATCATCTCTCCTTCGTCCTTGTCCTTTTGTGGTGGTCGCATTCTCACCACTACCTATACATATTAAGAAAAGAAAAATACGAGTAATAATGAAGATTATGTCGTGACTAACAAAATGAAAAAGGGCTCACTGAAAGAACACAAAATGAAAAAGGATAAAAAATATTTAACAGCTAAGGAACAGCCATACGGTGAACCAACAATTTCTTTTATTCATTCTCATTCTTAATTAATTACATTTTGATGTTTCTCGGTCACCAAATAAAGGTGGGTGAATAATAAAAAACTGCAAACAGCAATCAAACTGTAATGATACTGAAATTAAGAGGAAAAATGATATCCACTCAGCTAAATTAGAAGATTTCTCAGCAACAAAACAGATTTCGTCAAAAAAGGGTCAAAAAGAACTGTAAGAAATTAATGTCAGTATGTAAGGACCGTTCCCTAGTTGAGGTGAAAACGCAATCATCTTTAATTCTTCTTAGTCTTAATTCCTGATTCGTCAATTAACCTTTCATATTTCACGGCAGCCAAACAATAATTTCAAAATGTAGTAGTATAGACATTTTAAAGTAGAGGGGAAAATGATATCAAGCCAAAATTAAGAAAGATTTCAACAAAAATTACAAGATTTTACAGAACCCAAGCAGAAGTGATTTGGGAACAATGCGCCACAGACAGCAATCGATATGAAAATAGAGAAATCAAATGATATCAACTCAACGGGTAAAAGATATTTCAACAAATCCCACAAGATTTCTCGGCAACCAAACAGATTTTCGCAAGTTATCAATTTAAAATTTAAAGAAAGAAAGAAGAAAGTACCTGTACACCAGAATCGGAGGTTCCAGGGCCGGAGTTTTCGGTCTGAGAGTCAACGCTGAGCTTCCGCTTGAGAGGGTTCGACGACGGGGGCCGAGGCGGCAATGGGCCCTTCAACTTCGCGGCAGGCGAAGGTTTAGAATCGGAGATCATGGAGTTGGGATCCGACGGCGGAGCGTTCTCCTTGGAGGCCTTGGGCTTCCGAGGTGGCTTGGGCTTGGCGGAGATAGGGTTTGGCGACGAGGGAGGCTCCGTCATCTCCGTCAATATCGCGTTTCTCGGCTGCATGAAGTGCTTCATCGAATGTAGAGAGAGAAAGCGAGGGTTTCAGAGAGAGAGAGGGAGGGAGGGGGAGGGAGTGGGACTGAGAGAGTAGGGTTTGGATGCACAAGAGAGCGAGAGAGGAGGAAGAGAGAGAGGAGAGGGAGAAATGAGGGGTAGCCGTTGGAGGAGGCGAACGGAAAGGGAGATTTGAATTTTGGAGGAAATTGAAAGCACGTGAGGGTAGGGTCTTGTTTTTTATTGATGAACTCGAAACAACAAAACAAAAAGCAATTTGAATTTGTGTTGGATCTGGATTCCGGATTCTGGAGCGCTGTGCTTGTGATGGAGTTTATTTTGGGTAACCCGGGCGCATATGGGCCCTTTTTGTTTGTTTGTTTATTGAACAATTAAATAATTATATTTTCTTATTTGGTTGAATTATGGAAAATTTAATCTTCGAAAGATAACCTAAAAAATAGACGTTCAGATCACAGTGCAATAAATTTTTTTTTTTTTGAGTAAACGATATTATCTACACTAAGGAATGAAAGAGTGAGCTAAGTCTCACAATGGGCTAGCAATAATGTGATTCAAATTCACATTTGGTGAGAATCGAACCTAAGACCTCTTACTTACAAGTGAAGATCAATATTACTAAACTATAGTATTAAGTGGCAATCACAGTGCAATTGTAGATATCGAAATTTCGGTGAAATAAATGTTGACCAATAATTACAATTTTAACGCTCACGTGTCACATAAATTTTACACGTAGCGTGTGACTAAACGAAAAATCAAAATAAATCGAAGAAGTCATCAAATAAGGACACGTGTGAACACCTGGCGGAAATGATTTATTTCATCTGAATATTATATTCAAAATTAGGCCTTGAAAAAATTCTATAAATACAAGGCCATTTCATTCATTTTAGGATATCAATTCATCACCATTTCACATCACACCAAAACTTTGAAACTTTGAAACTCTAAAGCTCCCAAGCAAATCCCAAAGGATCAAGAAAGCTCCCTCCGTTCTTCGTCAAATCCTCCTTCAAGATCAAGCCCCAACAACCCTTGAAAAATGTCCACCAATTCAAGATCAAGCCCCAACGGCCCTTGCACAAAGTATTCATCGTTCATCATCCGGTCATCTTAAGATCAAGCCCCAACGGCTCTTTGGATCAACAACATCAACAAATCCACACATCCATTCTTCAAGATCAAGCCCAAAAGCCCTTGAAGATCCATTCATCCGTTCGCCAAGATTAAACCCAACGACCCTTGAAGAAACCATTTGTACATCACTATTCATCCTAAAGATCAAGCCCCGACGACCCTTTGGATTAGCAGCCCGTCCATAAATCTACACAACTATACATCCTAAAGATCAAGCCCCGACGACCCTTTGGATCAACAGCCCATCCACAAATCAACACCTTATGAAGATCGAATCAGAAGCTAAATTTGTAGAAGAGATTGTAACCACAAAATCATTAATACAAATACTATTTTGTACACGTGTTCTTGTCTCATTCATCACAGGAAAATTCGTTGGCACGCCCAATGGGACAATCTCTACCTCTCATCTCTTTCTCCGTTCAAGGAAATCAAAGCACACCTTCTGTTGATGCACAAAACCAAAGGTCTTGGAATAACGTAAATCTGACCGTGAATCTGCAAGATAATGTAAATAACACAAGATGTATCGTGGTTCATCCCAAGGTTTGGCTACGTCCACACTGATATTGTATTTCTCTAAAAGGTGAGGGAGAGAACCTCTGAATATGAGAGGGGATGTGAGAGGGTGAGAAGGCTTAAGAAATGGCCTCCTCTAATTATGAGGATGAGGAGTCCTTTTATAGAATAAGGGCTCCTCACTTATTACATATTTGCCCTTTTCTTTATTACATAATTACATTTAAGTCCCCTGAGTATTTGTACAAGATCTAAATACGGAGGCCCTAAATATGGTATAAACAGTAGTCCCCCAAGTCTTCAGTTAAGAGAGTCTTTTGACTGGAGACTTGAAATTCAGTCCATGTGTGGGCCGAAGTAACTAGATGTTGTCTTGAACTGATGTTCGATATGAGGTGGTGATCAATCTGAAATGATGCTCAACTAGAAGTAGCACATGCTGCGAGGCTGCTCGGCTCGTGGCTTATGTTGCCTTGGTTGGCTCAGCTTATGGCGTTGAAGGTGAAGGAGTCTCTTTTACAGAATAAGGGCTCGCTCCTCAATACATGAATGATGGGCTAAAGTTGATGCTCTATAATGATGGTGAAGGAGTCCCTTTTATAGAATAAGGGCTTACTCCTCAATACATAAGTGATGGGTTATGAGTGATTCTCGTGGCGATGCGGTTTGCTCAGCTGGCGGCGTTGCTTTCTAATGAAGGTGAGGGAGTCCCTTTTATAAGATAAGGGCTCGCTCCTTAATCCATAAGTGATGGGTTCTTTCTAATGAAAGTGAGGGAGTCCCTTTTATAAGATAAGGGTTCGCTCCTCAGTACATAAATAATGGGCTAAGTCCCCCAAGTACTTTTCATGAGGCCCAGTTGAGGCCCAATATATGGTACATAATGTAGTCCCCTAAGTCTTCGATCAATAGAGTCTGTTGGCTGGAGACTTCAAATTGAATCCATGTATGGGCCGAAGTGGTGGTTGTTCGGAGGCGGTATTTGTATACCTTGCACTGAAGCTTTGTAGGTGAAGCTTTGCAAGTGACGCTTTGAAGCTGGAGCTCTATAAATGAAGCTTTTGAAGCTAGAGCTTTTGTAAATGAAGCTTTTGAAGTTGTAGCTCTGTAAATGAAGCTTTTGAAGTTAGAGCTTTTGTAAATGAAGCTTTTGAAGCTGTAACTCTGTAAATGAAGCTTTTGAAGCTAGAGCTCTGTAATTGAAGCTTTTTTTAAGCTAGAGCTCTGTAAATGAAGCTTTTGAAGCTAGAGCTCTGTAATTGAAGCTTTTGGAAGCTAGAGCTCTGTAAATGAATTGAAGCTAGAGCTCTGTAAATGAAGCTTTTGAAGCTACTTGACATGAGTGATGCTCATGGATGTTGACATGAGTGATGCTCATGGATGTTGACATGAGTGATGCTCATGAATGTTTATGTATGATTGAATGAGTGATGCTCGTGAATGTTTATGTATGATTGTCATGAGTAATGCTCATGTATGATTTGAAGTACTGGACGTACTTTTGATCACCTGGTTGGTGGTAATAGCGGCAAGTTGCCGAATAATTTTGGAGTACTGGGCGTACTTTTGATCACCTGGTTGGTGCTATTTTTGGGCGTATGGGCCTTCGCCCTCCACAACATGCCAGCCCATTTACTTTGGGCTTTGCCGTTATTTTTTTTTTTACCCTCTGATGGGGTTTATACAGATGTCTCCGAAAGATATGAAAAATAAATTACATTATTCAAAAATAAGGAAAGTAAACCACATCATTCTGGTGGGGTGTTTATTCCTTGCTTTTGCTTTGGTTTCCCATGTGCTCTCCTCGCTTCTTCTCTGATTTTTCTGTCAGCAGGACTTTCCCTCTTTTCAAGGCTCACTACCAACTAAACTAGATTTTGCCTCCACATGGTAGGTAAGAAAGTGCATGACCTATGTGCTCTCCTCGCTTTTTCTCTGATTTTTCTGTTTTACTTTTTCTTTCTCCATTTACTGCACCTCTTTATGTCTTTATACAGTTTTCAAAAATAGCTGGATGATTAAAGAAAGCCATATCTAACCTACTTGTTGCAACCGAGGATGATGACAGAGAGGAAGTAGGTGGTGGTTGCCATGGCAACTTTGCTGCTACTCTTAAAGATTCCTTAGGAAAAAAAAAAACCAGTGAAGAGAAAAGACCAGCTTTGCTTTTCTCCAGATCTACCTCTTACTGAAAGCACTTTAAAAAACAGAATATCAGCCCCCTATTTTTCAACCACCTTGTCTCCAAGCACACTAGGATCCTACGACAGGTGGGTTGCTTTATCAGGTTGTTGGGTTTTGAGTTGGAGCCAACGACAGGTGGGATTGTCGTCGGTTGGATCGGTAGGATCGGTGACGTGGCCTTGAGGAGAACATGATATGGCGAACCAGTTGAATGGATTGGAGTGGAGGAGGTTCCAGTTGGAGAAGAAAGAAGGTGGCAGCGAAGCAAAGGAGTGGAGCCAGGAGAAGAGAAGGGTGGAAGTGGAACTATCAGTTGCTCCAAGCTCACCTTTAAACCAATTCTTCCTTTGCCTCTTGTGCAAGAATTATAATCTACTAATGTTCTAGGTTTAAACGGAAAGCAGGTATTTTCATTGACAAAAAAAAATTCGACTCTCTAATAGCCTTCAAATTTCTCCTTAAACGGAAAGCAAGTCATTCCTGTAGATCTTTCAATTTGACACCAGCAGTAATTGAAACAAGCAACTTCTTCCTGGAAAGCAGCGGCCTCAACTGCAAGACTGCATCTTTAACAACTTGAGGTTTGACCGAGAAAATGACGACGTCACTCTCTTCCACCACGTCGTCGTTTTTGGAGAGGAGATGGACTCTGAAGGACTAGAAGGCTTGGCGTCGAGATCAAGATTATCCTTGAGATCGGGCACTCCCTCACCTTTTTTCCGTAACAAGTGAAGGAACACAGTTGCGAAAATAGCATTGGGAGCAGCCGCCGGAGACTTGTGCTTCGGCTTATTGCTCTTACTGGGAGTCGGAGCAGCGGCCGGCTTGGGTGGAGCTGAAGTTGGAGTGGGGGAGGATTTGGGGGTGGCAACCGGATATGGTGACTTTAGGCTTAGGAGCTGCAGCTGGTGTCGAGATCGGGATTGTGGGGTTGTAGATGAGGGTGCAGTAGGAGGACCGAGAGCTGAGGGGAGAGAGATTTGATTCCCTGGGTTTTCGAAATACGAACCCAAAACCCAAAAAGCAACGACCTTTATCTTCCCTGTGGGCTTATGAGGAGTGTTTGAGATTTGGATCTTTTCTGTTTATGGGTTTTTGTGATTTTGCATATTCATAGTCGATTCCCACAGACGGCGCCAAATGTTGATGCACAAAATCGGAGTTCTTGGAACAACGTAAATCCGACCGTGAATCTGCAAGAAATAGCCTCCCCTAATTGTGAGGGTGATGAGTCCTTTTATAGAATAAGGGCTCCTCACTTATTACATATTTACCCCTTTCTTTATTACATAATTACATTTAAGTCCCTCGAGTATTTGTACGAGATCTAAATACGGAGGCCCTAAATATGG